GGGCCCCCGGAGGAGAGTGCCGCCGTGGCCGGCCCGGGGGGCGGCAGTGAGCTGTAGGGGGCGCTCTCGCGGGGGTTTCTCAGCCAGCACCAAAGTTTCCTCCTCGCCGCCCCTCAGAGCGGGGTCGCCCCCCACTTCGCTTTAAGCCACCCTCAGAACTGCGGCACTTCCCTCCCTCGCTGCGAGTCCCCTGGAGCCGCAGTCCGTGCTACTGCGGCGCCGCCGGTCGGGGCCGGGCACCGGCTAGTGCTCCCGGCAGCCCCTCAGTGCCCGTGCCGGGAAACGGCCGCGGCTCGGCGGGATGCGCTCGACCCCTGCTCGGTTGTTACCTGCCTGTGCGCTGCACCGCGGAGGAGAGCCCTGCTGGGGCAGCGAGGTCCCCGTGGGAGGCCATTGGAAAGCGGGCACTGAGCCGCCGTGACCGCGCTCTCGTCTGGTGACGAAGCGGTTAAACCTCAGCAGCGCCGCGGCGGGGGGGCGCGGGGGAGCGCAGCCGCCCGTTCGACGACGGAGGAGTTTTGGGTCCTGCCGGACGCCGTCACGCAGTTCCCGCCTTGGCGGCGCGCGGCCTGTTTCAAAGCGGGAGCAATGGCCGAGCAGGGCCTGGAGATGGCCTCCATGATCCCGGCGCTGCGGGAGCTGGCCAGGTAGGACAGACCCAGCTCCCGCCTTGTAGGGGGTGTGTGGGGGAAGCGCGGCCGGGATCAGCATCAGCGTGTGGCGTGGGGAGGTGGAAAAGTAGGTTCCTTCCCCACCGCTATGTGAGATCTCCCGGGGCTGGGCCTGCGCCCTCCTCTCATCCTGGTCGCCTTCTCCTCCCGCCACCTGCCTGGGTTGCTCCCTCCCTCACGGGTGCTGCTGGTAGAACCTGATGGGAGAGGTGTGTTGGCCTGCATAGCATCCTGCGTCCTGGGGACTTCCACTGTGTTTGTAGTGTGGTTTCACTGAGAATTAAAAGACCTTGAAATGTTTGGCTCTAAAGTTTTAATGGCAGCATCAAGACTGCAGCTTTGTTTTGTGGTGGGCAGCTAGTTGGCATGGAGGTACGATTGTAAGTTGAAGATTTGACCTGACAAGAGCTAGCTGCCATCTTGGTCACCTGGGCAGTTTCTATCGATACCTCTTACCCAGGGTATTGGTAGCTAATCAGTTGAATAATTTTGGTTAATTCCAGAATTGAAATGGGTTCTTAATTTTATTTTTTTCTGCACCAAAGCTGGTTTGTTGCTTGGCAGTAACGTGGATAAATCTCTTCATCTGTCAGATGTGACTTTAATATATATCAAGCATAATTGCATAACAAAATTAAATGATCTTCAGCACTTCATAAAACCTTGTACTTCTGAAGCATAAGGAGAAAGAGGAACAGGCAATATGTTGGTCACTGAAACAAGAAATCAATTTGTATTTCCTTTTTGAAGACTTCTAGAACAAAACAAAAAAAAAATCAGTGTTCAACATTGTGTTCTATAATGGATAATGTCAAAATAATGTACTTTTAATTTTAGTGCTAGTCCAGAAGAGTACAATACAGTTGTGCAGAAACCGAGACAAATACTCTGCCAGTTCATTGACAGAATTCTTACAGATGTAGATGTTGGTAAGTATTACATCCCTATCTTTTAAAATTATTATCTGCTTTATGCTTTAAGCAATTCCTGCCAAAAAAAAAAGTTACAACTCTCATTTCAACAAAGATGTAGTAGTTGAATGCAATACCATTTATGACTTATTTTTTAATAATTTTCATGATGAAGTATTTGGTATTATGATGTGAAGGAACTTAAGTTGGAAAAAAAAGGAGGGGGGAATGCAGTGCAGGGCTGTATGAATATAAATGCTCGCAACATTGAAAATCAGGAGTATCATGTAATGCGATTGTTCATTGAGTAATGTAGCTTGCAAGTCTTAATACTCACAGGGTCTTTCAGAATTGAAACGCTTTGTAAGCAGCTTTATTTTTAATTTTGGAATTCTCTAAAAGCCTTATTTTATTACTCCTTAAATCATGCTAAGGTTCCAATGATTACAGTACGTGAACAACATTTTGGTAATTATGAAATACATATACTACAAATTTATCATTTGTAGTTAACCTGTACATTTGCATCAAGGAGAATCACAGTAAGGGTAACTTACTGTTTCCAAGGTATAATTTCATGTAGCTGTCTCAGTAAGACTGATATTTTGTCTAGTGAATTGATCAATTTAAGTATCATACCCATGTTACTCTTCAGATGATGTGTTTGTTAATTCTCTTACAGTCCTGAAAGGGAAGGCTATAAAAATGAAAACAAAAAGCCAATCTGCTTTAGATGCTGCTTTTGAATACATAAGTGTTGTATTTTATCATTACCGTGTAACTTTTCTGGTTAATTGCTCTCTAAATCTGAGATAGTTTCCTTCTTATGCTAACTAACCATGTGGAATTTGGATAAATCTGATGGGATTCAGACACCTGTTTCAATGGAGCTATACAGCAGCATTAGATATGTTTAGTATTTTGCTAAACTTTCTGATTCAGTAAGCTGAACTTGCCATTTAAAAACTTCTATTTCTTGGAGATTTAGAACAATTCTTAGAGTTTTTTTCTACCAAGATCATAAATCTAGGGAAAATTGTGTGATTAAAAATTAAAATGTTAACTATTTGCTATTCTTCACTTATCAAACAGTTGGCTATAATACTAACTAAATGTTAATGCATGTAGGGTTAATGAATAATATTTAAGCTGAGTAATTTATATTTTTCTTCATACAGTTTGGCGTCACATAGTGGGTTTACAATATGCACAAAATCATTATAATGGATTAATAAAGCACACTCCCAACTGATAATTATACAGGTTTAATACCATATCATTGTATTTTATATAATAAATTTTTTCTTTCTCTTTAGGTGTGAACAAAATTTGTGAAGTTGGTTTATTGCAATGCTAATTTAGAAATGTCTTTTTTTTTTTTTTTAAAGTTGCTTTGG